CTTTAAAAAAAAAAAAAGAAAAAAAAAAAAGAAAAGAAAAGAAAAGAAAATGCCTCAAAGCCAACAAGGTAGTGAAAAAGTTTAAGTGGTTGTAGACATGCTAGAAGATCCATGATGGGGGGAACCTGAATACTTAGCTTATAAATAATATTGACATAATAGGTATCTTGGAAACATAGTGGTATGAGGAGAATCAGTGGAATGATAGAATAGGTTATACTGGTGGGAGTGGCATTCTGCATCAACAACTGCATCAAATCAAATGGGGTAGGCTTTCTGTCCTTTTTTTGTGGGGGCGGGGGGGGTGGTTTTTTCCAATTGATGACTTACCATAGAATCTCTGTGGATAGAAACTCCATGTTTAAATGGGGATGGGGAGGGGGGAAGTATGTTTGGGGATATACCACTGATTGTCCCAATCCCATTGTTCCTCCTCCCAACCAGGATGGCATCAGCAAGCTAGAAATGCTAAGGGGTTTGAGAGGGGCTGTGAAGGCAGAAAATACAATAATAATGGGTGATTCCAAATAGTCACAAATAGACTGGGTCAGTCAAACATCAGGCTATAATGCAGAGATCATATTTCTTGATGTTATAATAAATAGTTTCTCAAGTATTTAGTCCTCAAACCTACAAGAGGAAAGGTTATTATTGACCTCTAGACCTAAGTAGTGCACAGGATTTGGTACAAAGGGTTAAGTGTTACTGAGCTGCTCTGCAGTAGTGACTACAGTGCAGTTGCTTTTGACATCTAGGTGGGAGCGGAGAGAAGAAAATCTACAGTACAGGTTTCCCTTGCCAACCACGGGGGTTAGGTTTCTGAAAGTTCCTGTGGTTAGCAAAACTGGTTGGCAAAACCAGCAGGGCTGGGGGAGCAGAGGCTGTGGGTGAGGGATGAGGGGCACCAGCAAGGCTGTGGGGTCTTTGGGGCGGGGGACAGAGGGGGAGTGAGAGGCATGAGCAGGGCCAGGGAGGTCATGGTGGAGTATTTTCAGACTGTACCCCCTCCCTTTCTCTGAAGCATGGATACTCAAAACCATGGTTGGTGAAGGAGACCTGTAGTAGCTCTTTAACTTTAAAAAGAGAGACTACACAAAATGAGGAAGCTGCTTAGATGGAAGTTAAATGGGGTCCCAAGAACTTGCAAGCAGCATGGGAACTGTTTGAGAACACTGTATTGGAGAGAGAGAACAAATGCGTATCTCAAACAAAAACAGGCATGCAGACCAGAAGAAAGCTAGTATGGTTTAATGGCAGAGTTTCATCTTTTTGAAAGAAGCCTTTTTCCTGTTTATTGCCTATGTAAGTCCAATCCTAATGAAGAAAATAAATAAGAATAAGCTGGCAAATCAAATGTAAAACCGTAACAATACAAGTGAAGAGAATGTGAGGAGTAACAATAACATTTCTGTAATTATGTTAGAAGCCAGAAACCTGTCAAGAAGTCAGTTGGGGCTTTGGGTGATCAGGGTGGAAAAGGGGTGCTAAAGGATGACAGCCATTGCTGAGAAAAGTAAATGCGTTCTTTGCATCTGTCTTCACTGTGGAAGATGTTAGGGAGGTTCCCTGACCAGATGCACTCCTCTTTAGGGACAAGTCAGTGGAGCTGACCTGAACTGATGTTTCAGTAGATAATATTGTAAAGGAAACTGATAAACTAAACAGTAGCAAATCACCAGGACCAGATGGCATTCACCCTAGGGTCCTTCAGAATCCTAAATAGGAAGTTGCCAAACTCTTACCTGTAGTAGGCAACCTATCACTAAACAGCCTTGGTACCAGAGGACTGGAGGGTTGCTAGTGTGGCTCTCATATTTAAAAAAGACCCTAGAGGGGATGCAGAGAACTACAGCCCAGTGATTCTAACTTCTGTTTCAGGAAAACTAGTAGGAACAAAGAAAGAGTTGTTGTGGATGAATGTGAATTGCTGGGAAGGAATCGGCATGGCTGTCAAAGGGAAATCGTGCCTCACCAAACTACTGGAGTTCTTGAAGGGTATCAGGAAGCAGGTGGCTTAAGATGTTCCAGTTGACAATCTATTTGAACTTCCAAAAAGCCTTTGACAAGGTCCCCCCCCTGCAGAGGCTGTTAATGAAGTTAGGTGGTCATGGGATTATAGGGAAGGTCCACTCATGGGTTAGACATTGGTTTTAAAATTTTAAAAAAGCCAAAGAGTTAAATATAAATGGTCAGTTTTGGGGATAAAAAGAAGTAAACAGCAGAGTACCCAAGGGTCCTGTGTTGGGATCAGTGCTGTTTAACATTCATAAATGATCTGGCAAAGGGGGTGAGTAGTGAGGTAGATAGGTGCAGATGGTGCAAAATTATTCAAAGTTGTAAAGACCAAGGTGGGCTATGAGGAGCTGCAGAAGGATGTGGAACAGTTGAGCAAATGGGCAATTAAATGGCAAATTAAGTTCAATGTAGTTAAGTATCAAGTGATGCACACGGGCAAAAATAACCCAAACTATACTGTGATGGGCTCTACATTAGCTGTCACCGCACAAGAAAAAGATCTGGGAGTCATTATGGGCAGTTTGCTATGCAGCCATCAAAGGCAAACAATGTTTAGGATTATTAAGAGGGGAATTGTGAACAAAATAGAAAGTGTCATTATGCCCCTTTATAAATACATGGTGTATTCACAACTTGAACTGTGCTCTGTTCTGGTCACCACACCTCAAAAGAGGATAAAGAGGAACTAGAGAAGGTACAGAAAAGGGCAACAAGGATGACTAGTGGAATGGAGGTGCTTCTGTATGATGAGAGATTAAAGATGCCACGTCTATCCAACAGTGCTCCACCATCTGTCTCTGTCTGTGTAGAAAAGGGATGCTTTGTAAACCCTTATATAGTGAACTGAAAGTAAAGAGGATTTTATTTACTTTTTCAGCATACAAGATCTAGGGGCCACAAAAATTAAACTAGTAGGTAGTAAATTTAAAACTAACACAGGAAGTTCTTTTTCACAGTGTGTTACTAAAGCGTACAGTTCATTACCACAAGATGCGAAAGCTGACATTTAGCCAAATTCAAAAAGAGATTGGACAAATTCTTAGAAAAAGATGCATCAGTAGCGTGTCAGTTAAAGGTACAGCCTCTAAATCAGAACTTCCTAGACCTTAAATTCTGGAGGTTTTAAGTGGGAGAGAAACACTAGAAAAATCCCTGGTGATACCCTGTTCACTTGCCCTTTCAGCAGCCACTCTTTACCCCTGTGTGACACAGGATACTGGGCTAGATGCAACCATGGTGTGACCCACTAAATGGCAATTCTTACTATGTCTTTATTTTATAGGAAAGCCAAAAGGAACTTTGAGGCAGCCGGGGTTAATGATTATACCAGACGAAGGCAGCAGAAGACCTATACCTCCTGTGCAGAGAAGCAGGGGGAGTTCATATGGAATTGCGAAACCCAGCATGGAGACATTTCCATATGTTTTGCCCTCAATAGTTGGAAGTGGACCATCCAAAGAGGCTCCAATGCAGAGACATGTGACAATGATAAACAGGTCTGTATGTGTGCATATGTAGCATGATGGTTAAAACATGCAGGGCAAAAGGATTATTGATCTGTTGGGTCTGTCTGAGTGAGGAACCCTGACTTCCCTGCTTCTGGAGTGGCACCCCTTGAATGGCTATATTTGTTTTGTATTACTCTGAGGGTAAATTTTTTACTGTTAGAAAGGGAAACTTTTTTCCCCCCAAGAATAGACATGGTACATAAATTTAGAGACCAATATCTGTGTGGTGATTTCATATGTAGTTATCAATGTTGCTACAAAAATGGTTTAGCTGTACCACTGTCTACAGCTACAGATGCAGACACGCACAAGGTTTAACTTGCATAAGATCACTTGGGTGGCAGCAGCAAAACCAGAAATAGAACCTAAACCACCACCTTTCAGGTGTCACCTACTTTTAAGTGTCACTTATTTGCACTCTAGCTGCTTTATTCAGTGTATGCCAGGGGTGCAGCCGCTGGTGCCATTTTATACGGCTCCCAGTGCTGCCAATGGGTCATGGAGTTGTCCTGCATGCATTGCATGTGGTGCCCGCTCTGGGACCACGTTGCTTATGGCACCTGCTCCAACCATGTGGGGACCGTGTGTCCACTCCATACTGGATTCAGCGCATGTGAAGGAGAGGGGTGGAATGGTCCTAAAGTGGGTGGCACCGGCACAATGATGTACAAGATGCACTCCAGCTGTTTTGGGACACATGTTGGATCCCACATGGAGCAGACCTATTTGAAACAGGCACCACACATAGTGTGGTCCTAGAGTACGTGTTCTGGGGGGATGTGTTACACATAGCACCCGTTCCAGGACATGCACTGGATCCAGCTTGCAGGGCCAGTCTGTGGGCCTGATCCAGCCCCTGAACTGATGCTGTATCACTCATCTAACCCACAGGGTCAGCTGTCTTTGACATCCCTGATGTATGTAGTTTAGAAGTCTTAATTTTCTTTTGTTTATGCTTTGCTATGGGTGTTTTACACACAATTGAAAGGAACAGAATATGTTGGTTTAAGATCTGAAAATGCAAGCAGATCCAGGTGAAAACATCGTGCTAAGATAAAGTAAACTGTCTTTTTATTTGTGGTATTTTCTTGCATACTGCATACTTCTAAATAAGATGTGCACCTTGTTTTTTTGAAAGGCAGATTTTAGGAAAGAAAAATTTTTGACAGTTATGGCCCAGAGGTGGCTTTCTTGGAAAGGCTGCAGCTGCAAAATGGCTGCTGCTTCTCTTGGCAAGCAAGCAAGCAGTAGGGGCAGCATCCAGTACTAACCTTCTTGTAGCTACTACTGAATTCACAGCAGCTTTTGCATCTCCACCTGAAGTTAGAACCTCTAATGGTTGGTTTAAAAGTTAATGTTGTCTTTTCGTTTTGGAACATTATTGCTCCTCTTATAGGATGTTGACTAGTTCAGTGCTAATATTCAATATGATATGCACAATCTCTAGTTTCTGTTTAATGCAAGGAAATAATCTTTGGGATAAAAATGGAAATGTATAACAAAAGATTAAGGTATTGTAATACTTTACTGTAAATCCTCCATAATCCACTGAATTGGTACACATTGAAGCATAGGCACCAATTTTATTTTCGCTGGGGAGGAGCCCTATGATGGACATGTGGAAAGCCTTATGCATTTCAAATGACAGCCTTCTTCCCAAGGGGGCCAGGGTCCTCGGCACCTATGCATTGAAGTCTGACAACTGGTATTTTCCTTGGTATGTGGACATAAGTACATAGAGCACAGAAATATAGATATAGATTTTTTTTAATAGTCTTTCTTTAAACATCACTTTAATGAGGCACACAACTGAAAAAGTTTAGATGTTGATCTTTCATTCTCCTGTTACAAATCTATCATGTAACTATCCTTTGTCCAGAACTCTATTTTGACAGTCTGGTGCTATACTCCCAATGACGACTGGCTTTTGACTCTCTTGGTAGAAAGCTACGTTTGGTTCTGCTGTTGAGTTAGTTAGCAGAACACTAGAGAATAATTGTCAATTTTCAAAGTTACTCTAACATAACAAGCAATTAAAAAAAAATCAAAGAAAGCAACTTTAACAGAAAGCTTCTATATTTTAAACAGCAGAAGGTCTTTTTTGCTTAGCTCTTTTAACCCTTGAATGCAGCATCTGACTTGCTGGGTCTGGATGAATTCAGATAAGGGCTTTAGATGCTGTTTTGCTGGGTTAGCATTACACATGTTTTCATTCTTTGGTTCTAAAATCCAGCTTGGCTAATAGAATTGCTGCACCATCATTTCTCTTTATGTATTGCTTATTGATGCACTGAGTCATCAAATGATGATGGAGGTAATGTCCTTGTTCCATCATTGTGATTGGGCTAAGTTTCCGAATAGCTTTGATTTATCTCAGTAATACTCCATGTATTATCATGGTGATTAGTTAAAATATAGCAAATATTTGAAGCAAGATGTGAGCTGTCTGCTACTTCCCCTAAGGCATAGCTGTTGTTGATACATATCAGTATGACAGTTTAATCTCTCACGTATTAACTCTTTTTTCAAAAACCTGAAGGGAACAATCAGAACATTCTGTTCGACAACAATGGGTGTCAGGGAGTGTTGGGAGACCGGAGTGAGAAACTAGCAGCAAGTTAATTTCACTCTTGAAATAATGGGGTTTATTTAATCCTGACTCTTGCTTTAAGAGCAGTACAGGCTCCCAGGTGCATGCATCTAAAGTATAGGTATTGTATAGGTAAATCTGTTTGTCTTGCAAGACAGTAGATTTGCACCAAGACATTATCTGTGAGTGTGGCAGTTTTATGGCAGATATATAGAGGCCAATTCTTATGACAGTGTCTTCTGCATTTATGGTATGTGAAATTTGTATCTAGCAATCTAACATGTGGTTTAGGGTTCTTCCTGAGATTTCTTTTCTTACGCACATTTGGCTCTTCTTTCCTCAAAAGCCTTCATTCCATATTTAATAGACTGTTTCCAAGTGCTTTGATCCTCCATAATCTTTTCCCAGTCATTTGGCTTAATGTTCATTGCTTTCATATCTCTGGAGAACATCTTTGAAATGGAGATATAATGCCTCCATGGTCTTTCCTGTAAACAGTTATCCATGCAAGAAATCCTTGGAGAATCCATTTTCCACATGACCAAGCCATCCAAGTCAACACCGACTGAGGAGAAAGAGAATGAATGCTTAGAAAGTTGGCATATTCTAATACCTCAGTGTAGGCAATTCTATATTGTCAGATAATTGCTAGGTAGCATAAGTGAAAGCTGTTGAGGTGCTTTTCTTGAATAGTGTATGCAGGATGTGCTGCCACACAAGTGTTGATGGTGTAAGCATGGTATACTTTGACCATGGTCTTAACAGTTAGTGTGTTCCATGTGTCTGCATGCTCATGACACCTGTATTGGCAAAACAGTAGGCATTCAGTTCAGCCTCAAATGACAAATTGTTGGTAACAATGGAGCTAAGGTATATAAACTTAATTACAGCATCCAACATATTTTTGCCTATTTTGATTTGCCAGTGAATCGGTGTTCTAGCCCAGTGGTTTTCAATCTGCAATCTGTGGACCCCTGGGGGTCTGCAGACTTAAGGGGTCCACAAAAGATGACTATGATCAATCAAAGTGTGTGAATACCCACACTTGCTATTCAAAGGTGTCTGCACCTCCATTCAATTATTGTTTAGGGGTCTGCAAATGAAAACAGCTGAAAACCACTTTTCTAGCCCATGTTTTTGGTCTTGATGCTGCTTTGGAAGACCAAACTTTTGGCAGGCATACTCAAAGTGACTCATGAGGTTTTGAAGGCAAGATGGACAAGAAGCCCTGAGCCAGGATGGTGGGAGTATCTGTGAAGGAGCAGCTAGTTACTTAATTGATGATGAGTTAAGCTGCTTTGTGTTTTCCTCTTAGGCTGTGGGTACTAGTCCCCCTTGTCTCTCTTTGCTCCTCCCTCCTGTCTGCCCTGCCGCCTTCTGTCTATTGCTTGTGCAGCACACAGTTTCTCTTCCCTTCTACCCCACCCCCTTGCCTGCCAGACTGCTAAACAACAAACCGGTAAGCTGACTGGTTATCACTGCACTAATAGTTTAACCTTACACATCCTTAGTAGACATCCAATCTCTTACAATAATTTGAAAAGGCCTCTATTGCTGACAAGGTTTAAGGCCTTGGTCAGGTCAATGAGGGCCATTTACAGAGAGGTCTCCTTTGTTCCCTATAAGTTTTTCTTGGATTTGTTGGAGTGAAAAGATCATATCTGCAACAGATCTACTCACTCTGAAGCCACACTGCGGCTATGTCCATACAAGACACTGACTGTGCGGTAGCTCTGCGCAGCACAAAGCGTGATGTGACACTACTGCGCAGTCAGCATCACCAAGAAGCCATGCGGGGATACTGCTGCACAGTAATGCCAGTTGCTGCACAGTCATTTAGTACTTGTGTATGCAGGATACTAAATGACTGTGCAGTAACAACTGCTCAATCAACATCTCATGTAAGTGCAGCCTGTGACTTAGTAAACACTCTCAGCAAGCTTCTCAAGTCTTCTGAGCACCCCCAAAGCAAACAATGCTTAGTAGCGAAATACCATGATTATTTGTTACAGTTGCTGTGGTTCCCTTTTCGTTCTTCTACAGAGTGACTATATTGGCATCTCTTGTATCTTATGGTGCAGTCGCAACTGCCCCACCTATATGAGCTGCTTGCTGTTAGAAAGAAACACAAGTCTCCCACACTTAGTCATGGAGAAGTAGGACTGGAAGGGACCTCCAGAGGTCATCTAGTCCAGCCCCCTGTCTAAGGTAAGATCAACCCTATCCAAGCCATCCCATGTAATCATAATATAAATAAAACTGCTCTCAACCCTATCGCAACATAAAACTAACACCCTAACCCGTCACAGATAAAGCAGGGAAACTGGCAGCCAGTGTCTTGCTTCTGTAAAATGTTGTCAGTGTACACTCAAGGGGTCATGGGCCACACCCTCCACTA